AACCTGTTTGCACCCACCACCTGAATTCCAGAAGCAGCATCCACTGCACGTGAAGCAGGCTGGAAACTCCAGACCTGGGTTAAATACCTCTACCAACAAGTATCTTCTTTCATCCATGTTTTGGTTGAAATTTGTAGCTTGACACGAGGGTTTGTGTAGCTTGACAAATGCAGATTAAGAGCACACAACACCTGTAGGGGGTGTACAACCTCCTGGAACTTTTCCGTCCCTATTTCCTGACTCCTGGGGCTACACGTGCACAGCACAACATTGAAGAGTCCAAGTCCAGTTATCAGAGTCACAAGGTTTCCTTTCAAAAACATTATTTTTACTAGTTTTTCCTCCTTTTACACATGACAAAAATGATGCAATGACCATTCATGACATCTTGTTTGATGGTGTTATTAATAAATAACCCAACTTTTCTCATTTGGGGGTCTGTGGTATTAATGAATAGAGAGACACATGAGGTTATGCTGCATTAGCATTAGAAATATGTGCTGAATACACAAGGTACTGTGTTATATTGTGGTACTGTGCTTACTGTAAAACCACTGGTGGTGGCAAAATACAAACCCTCCTGTAAGTAAACAACAGAGGGAACACAGCCAGAGGCCAGCAAGAAAAATAAATTCCACTGAGCTTTGAGAAAAGCTGGGGTTGATGAAGAAAGAAGGCAGGAGAGAATTTCTGAGTCAGGAGGATGCACTCAGCCTTACAGGGGATTTCTAAAATGTGAAAAGTTCCTGAAGCAGAAGAGAAATGCAGAGGGGGACAGACCTCACCAGGGCTGGGTTAAGGAAGGGGTGGGAAAACAACACCAGGGTAATAATTTTTTTCCCCCCAATGGGCTGTCAAAGTCACCATTCTCAAATGTGACAGATAGGTGCACCTGATGGGTGCCAAAAATTGCAGCAGTCTAAATGAGTAGTGAGGTACCAACAAAACCACCCCAAACAATAAACAAGGACATTTATTCTGTTAACAGAACTAATTATGGGGAGTTTTAGTCTTTTAGACATTGCCATCCAACAGGACTTCAACCACAATTTTAAAGTTTATGTCTATTAGCCGAGGTGTTTGACCTGAAAACTCTCCTGCAATCACTACACAAGAAGTCTTTCTCCAGATCTCTTGCATTTCTCAGATCCACCTGGCTGAAAACCACCATTAGACCAAAGTTTCTTAAAGCATTTTTATACATCCTTGTTTGAGTAACCTTTCTTGACCAAAAAAAAATTCAACTAAAATTCTGTATGGAAATAGAGGTTATGTCCCTCTGTACATAAAAGCAAACAACAGACCAGGCTGGCTTAAGTTTGCCTGTAAAATATTATTGCTCCATCTCAGCTAATTTACCTACTCCTAAAACCAAGAAACACCTCCATGCAAGTATTATCTTCTAGAGCTGTGACATATTCCAATAAACAAGTACTGAAAATAGCTTTTTGCATCACTAAAACTTTTTACGTCACTGCAAATATAACTCAAATTGTAGAAATTAATGTCCAGATAATTCTCTACAAACTACAATATTCTGGAACAAATATACTCATAAAAACAGGATAGTCCTAGACAAAAGAAAGGTCTGAGAGATGCCGAGCCAAGTCTCATAGGCCAAAACTCTGGTAAAAATAGTATAGTAAGTATAGTGCCAGAATGTGATGTGATCAAGCTGTGACAGTCTGTGGATTCAAAGTTTTCCCTACAAAAGTAGGGGTTTTTCCTGTATTTTTTAAATCATACTGCTCAGAAGAATAAAGATATTTGTAATATGCTTATCAGCACCAAGAGCCCCCAGGGAAGTTTTTTTTTTCCCCTGCAAAATAATTTTTTCCACAATTATTCAGCAGCCACGGTCATTTGATTAATTAATTAATTAATTATTGTGCTTCAAATGTTTCTCAGGCCTTTTGACAGCTCTAAATATATTTGAAACAAACCTGAATTTTTCAAACAATGGAACCATGAGAACTAAGAGTACTTTGCACAGCAGGAGTGCTGGGGGATTTCAGCTTTTTGACCAGGAGCCATTCTGAAATCTGGCATCAGCCTTTAAAGCCACACTCATGACACATTTGAGCCTCTTACTGGGAATATGACTGGAAGCACAGCACACCCCCAAGCAAGAACAGGTCAGATTTGCTTATTTATATTGAAGGAGAGCAAATAAATCAATCTATTTCCACAGCACTACCAGATTCAGGCAGACCCAGTCTGCACAGCAGCTCCCTAACTGCTTTGATACTGAGCTTGCTGTGAGAAAAGCACAGCTCTGTGGTGTCTGTTCCATCTCTGAGGGCTTAGCCACATAGCTACAGGCAGAATATATAGGAAACACCTGGTGCAAATCACAATCTGAAGTGAAGAAAGTTGCCTAAAACCACCTTGGGAGCTGCTGGTAGAGTGTTACACCTTGTTTTTTCTACTAAACCATCACAATGCAAACATAAGACTTTTACAGCCTGGATTCATCTTACCAGTTTTGGGCTTCCAAGTAATTTTGAGGTGCAGTTTATTCCAGGAGAGAGCTCAGACAAGCTATATCCACCAGCACCTGATTTATTTCATCAACTCTAATAGGAGTCAAGGGTGCTCAGCTGAGACACGGACACCTGTGTTGTCAATGACTGGTTTCAGTCAGAGGTCCAGCAGTTCTCTCAAGCCCTGTAATTACTCTCTGGCTGCATGTCTCAAAAACAAACAAACAAACAAAAAAAAAAAGGCAGTGCCAAAAAGAAAATGATACTAATAAATCCCAAAAACATTGTTTTTGTGATGCAACATGGGATCAGTGTGAGCAGACTGGAAGTCACATCTTCAGGGCTCATAATTTACAAGACAACCAGATTCTTCAGATTTTTCTCTTCCCTTGAAGGAGAAGCCATGTCTGTGATTACATCAAAAATGCTTTAAAAGTCCAGCTGTTTTACACTCCTCATTAAAATTCACCCAGCTACCACACATTCCAAAGCACAGGAGCAGACACACATTTAGTAAGATTTATTTACACAGATCTGACCTAAATCGGTGCTACTCATCCAAGATCAAATTCCTTTCCAACATGAGCATCCAAAGCAAGTTAAACTTGCAACATAAAGTGCTGCCAGAGTCCTATTTTGAGAAATCAAGCATCATTTAAGACTCATGCTGCAAAAGTCTGTTCCTTGAGATTTATTCTCCCATTTCATAGGGAAGATCTTTATGGACTCCCCACTCCTGCCTCCTGAGGACATTTCACAGATATCCTGCAGTCATGGCTGGGTGAGCACTTTCTCAGGTTCTGTGGAAAAATTCTCAGCAGCCACTTGTCAAGCAGGGCCAGATGGTTGAAGGCATATGAGCATGGCAAAGCCTTAGCAAGTAAGGAGCTAAAATCAGACTGCTTACTCAGAGAGCCACCTCTCCTCCACAGCACCCTCCTCCAAGGAAACAGAACAGAAGTTCCTAAACAACCTCGAGCTTGGAGTACTACACAGGGAATCCCAACCTAGCATTGAGCACTGAAATAATTCATTGAAGGTGCAGCTCTAACACCAAACTAGTTTCCTGCTTTTTCTGCATTCCCTGAGGGAATTGATGCAGCCAGGAGGATGTGTGGAAGGCACAGATAAGACATTCCACCAAGGGACTTTGACATATCTCACTCTGCTGTGCTGGTATAGCCTCAGGATCACAAAGGGAGACTCCAGCTCCTTCAACAGCCTGGAATACCATCCAGAAGGGGTATTTACAGCCTTTAAGAAACCTAATCTTCATGGCCTGAAACCCCACAGCAAGCTTGCTGGCCATCTGCCCCAGTAAATTGGCCATTTGTCCCCATTAGAGACAGCTGGGCTGTTAAAGCAATTAAGTGGCATAGGGAGGGAGTGACATTTTTGGTTTGGGAAGAGGCTGTTTGCAGCACTGACAGCACTGAAACACTCCTGATTGTGAAGAGGTGACATTCTTAAGTGAATAATGAAAACAGGCATTCATGAAACACGAGCTCTTCCAGAAGTTCAAGTTAAAGCAATATGTTTCCTAAAAAGATATTTGTTCCTATTGAAGAGATTTACACCAAATGAAAGAATTGTGTCTCTGACAATGCAAAGCATTCATAGTCACCGGCCAGACTTTTACAGAGTACATATTTGTCTTTTGATACAGGACATCTCTGAGCTAGCAACAGTAATAAATCTGAATGTTAGCACAGATAGTTTTCCACATTTTAGGTCAAATGCTATCAAGTTTAGCTTATCAGCTTATTACGATAAAACAAGCTGCTTTGTCATTAGTTTTCTGATTAGTTGCTTGGTTCCAAAACCTGGGACAGTAAATAGGGTTGTTGGGTTTTATTTTTCCATAGTCTAAATGCTTAATGCCTGCTGGTTATCCTTACAAATCATAAACAGGGAAATCACTCCTTGATCCCTTGCTAGAAGAGGGGAATGTGATGATTTCAGCATGTTTAAAACACACATTCCTAAAATACCTAACTGGTCTGTAATTTTTTCACAGTATAAAGCCTGAGCTTAGTGGTTAGGTTCCTTGATCTGCAGCCATACTGGTTTTGATCAACAAGCCATGCAGTGACAGTCTGTTGAGCTGGATACATTGAGAGTTGTGATGTTCACTTCCAAAGGTAGCAGCCTTTCCTTGTAGCAAACAGGAAAAATGGGATACAGCTTTGCAGAGCTCTCTGCCACAACAAACTGTCCTTTTCTGGGTGCAGACTGCAGCATCCACCAGGCTTTTGCAGGTCTAATCCATGGGAAAATAAAGGTTGTGCCCTATGGAGAGAGGTAAGTGTTGCTGTTTTAGAAAAAAGGACTTGAGTGTGCTCTAGGATGGCTGGAAGAGCTCCAGCAAAAAAAATAGTCAAACTGCAAGTCACATGTCTGCTCTCATGCTGGGAGATCTGTGAGAAAGATTGTAACAC